GATCCTTTGCTACCACTTTCAGGAAATTTCAGTGAACAGCAGCATGCATACTTAAACTTTTTATGGCCGATTGTAGAATGAAGCACAGTGCATTTCGGAAGGAAACAAATGTGTTCTTTTCAGAACTTCAGAAAGAAAATGAGTTTTAGGTCAACAAGTTAAGTCGGATAGTTTTTATCATTGGGTAGTTAACATGAACCCGTCATGAGAGATTTACCTTAACTCCTTCACTTTTTATTGAAAAATTTGCATTATACTTCAATTTGTACTATAATCGTAACACAGCAATTTTGTGTATATATTGCTTTGCAAACAAATAAAATCTTGTCAATTACACAATTTTAATTTTTCTCTTATTCGTTTCAGGCTAAACATATTTGGGGAATGAATAGCTTAAAGGGCCACTATAGTGCCAAGAAAACATACTCGTTTTCCTGGCACTATAGTGCCCTGAGGGTGCCCCCCACCCTCAGGGACCCCCTCCCGCCGGGCTGGATGGCAAGGAAAGGGGTTAAACTTACCTTTTTTTCCAGCGCCGGGCGGGGAGCTCTCTTCCTCCTCTCCACCTCCAATCCTCCTCTTCGGCTGAATGCGCTTGCGCGGCAGGAGCTGCGCGCGCTTTCAGACAGTCTCATAGGAAAGCATTCATAATGATTTTCACAGTGAGAAGCACTCAATGAGACAGCCACTAGAGGCTTTGGAGGCTGGATTAACCCATTTATAAACATAGCAGTTTCTCTGAAACTGCTCTGTTTATAAAAAAAAGGGTTAATCCTAGAGGGACCAGGCACCCAGACCACTTCATTAAAGGACCACTCTAGGCACCCAGACCACTTCAGCTTAATGAAGTGGTCTGGGTGCCAGGTCCAGCTAGGGTTAACCCATTTTTTTATAAACATAGCAGTTTCAGAGAAACTGCCATGTTTATGAATGGGTTAAGCCTTCCCCCAAAGCCTCTAGTGGCTGTCTCATTGACAGCCACTAGAGGCGCTTGCGTGCTTCTCACTGTGATTTTCACAGTGAGAGCACGCCAGCGTCCATAGGAAAGCATTGTAAATGCTTTCCTATGTGACCGGCTGAATGCGCGCGCAGCTCTTGCCGCGCGTGCGCATTCAGCCGGCGGGGCGTAACGGAGGTGGAGAGGAGGAGGAGAGCTCTCCGCCCAGCGCTGGAAAAAGGTAAGTTTTTACCCCTTTCCCCCTTCCAGAGCCGGGCGGGAGGGAGTCCCTGAGGGTGGGGGCACCCTCAGGGCACTATAGTGCCAGGAAAACGAGTATGTGGTCTGGGTGCCTAGAGTGGTCCTTTAAGACAGTATAGGGTGTCCTTTATCATGTAATATTTCACACAAGGTCTGAAACAGCAAAATTGTATAAAACAATATAATACTAAAAAAGTGAAAATTCGATTTTTATTACATACAGTAGAGATGACAAAAAAAAATTGCTTATAGATATTTATAACAATCCTATATAGTCATTACTGGCAGTACAACTGTTATGGTACTTGGGTTATTTGGATTGGAACTCCTTAATTACAATAGTAAAAAAATGAAGAATCTTTAAAGTATCAATACTGTAGCTTTAAGAAAAGAGAGGATTGCTGGCAATTTGAGAATCAAACGAAGTTTTAATGATTGATAAACTTAAATGAATTGCATGTAGGCAATAAGCCAATAAGAAGAAAGTGCAGGTTATCAAACAATACAAAGTTCATTAATAAGTATTTCCTCAGAGAAGTTTTTAATAAGATTCTTTAGGTTGCGGGGAATAATCTTCAATAGAAACATTAAGCAGTTGGCAAAGGGTATTTGCAAAGCAAGAAACAGTTCATAGTAAATAAGCATGATGGGAGTTGTCCTTCATATAATTAGTAACTTGAACCAGAGAAGATTTAAGCAAGCAGGAATTGGTTCCAAGAAACAGTTCATAGTAAATAAGCATGATGGGAGTTGTCCTCCATATAATTAATAACTTGAAGCAGAGAAGATTTGAGCAAGCAGGAATTGGTTCATTAATAAATGATATTGCAGACAATAGTTGAAAGATATACTTAAGGTTAAGGTGAGTTGTCCTCCAAGAGTTCAGAGTTATAGTCCATTTGTAAATTAGGAAAGTATCCGTTCTCCAGTTATCCTCTATGGCTTGCAGCAATCCTTGCATTAGCTCAAAGGCTGGGACGGCTTGTCAGAGCTTGTGGAGCCGGCGTGAACACCCGGAAGTAGGTCCCACATTCACCAAGCCTTCTCCCTGGCGCGGTCTCTCTAAGTACTGTCTGAGCCGCGTCAGAAGGGGGCGGGGCCAGCTCCACAATGCGGAAGTGCTGAACTCGGAAGAAATACCGCATGACAACAGCGTACTAAAAATGGCAACAGAACGTAAATAGAATGTCTGCTTTTCAGCATATTGCCCACATACAGTAAATACAGTTAAATAAGAATTTGCTAAATATTGATAAGATAAAAGTATTTAAAAAGTCTGTAGACTGTCAATGCAATGCTGAAAGTGAAATGGTAGAGCTCATTCACCCCCCCCTCCTCCTCTCTGACTGTAGGAATAATATGACCCTTTGGAACTTCCTTCACTGATTAGAAGCAGGAAATTAGCTGACATCTGCAGTAAATTAGCAGGTTTTCAAACGGTGACCAGTGGCTTCTGGAAGAAAAAAATGCTCCTCTATAGAGTATAGGGTAACAATAACTGAAGTATAAATGAGGGTGAGTGAGACTTTATGGGCTAAATTTCTTTCTGAAACATACATGAAAATAAAAACATTTATACTTGATTTAGGTAGTGAAGTGGTTAATATGACCCTTTGAAACTTCCTTTATTGATTAGAAGCAGGGGGTGAGCTGACATCTGCAGCAAATGAGCAGGGTTTAAAACAGTGACCACCGGCTTCTGGCAGAAAAAAATGTTCCTTTATAGGGTATA